GTGATATAATTTAATTTTTGTCCTTTTGTAACTAATGATATTCAGCATAATGCCTTCCATGTTCATACCTTCTATGAGGTGTTCCACAGATTAGTTGTTACTCTTCAGTATTGTGTAGTATTCCATTGTGTGTATGAACCAAAGTTTGTTTATCCATTGTTCCATTGTTGACATTTAGGCTGTCTCCATCTTTTAGAATAGCATGATGAACATGGATGTGGATATATCTGCTCATGTCAAGGCTCCTCTTTTTCTTTTTTTTGTATATATTTATAAAGAGAAGTTTATTACCTTACAATTATAGAGTCCCAGGTACCAGCAGATGAGAGAGAGAGAGTTCCTCCCAAATGTCCATTATATTGGGAGCAGGTCACAGCCCCAAGGAAGTATCCTTTCAATTGATTGGCTCTTCATAGCTGTTTATCATAGAGCTACCTATGCCTATATTAGGCTTCACCAACAAGGGATTAAAACATATCCAATGGTTAAATCTATGGAAATCCTGGCCTAGTCGAGTTGACACAGAAACCTAATCATTATAGTTCACCTTTGTCAACTTGAAACCTATAAACTATATGTATAATCTTGAAATAAAAGAAAATTGTAAAATCGTACTTGTGCCTAATATGATACAACTGAAACAAGTATAATAAAAAGTGCACTGACCCCATTTTCACCTTAAATATCAAAATCAACAAAGTAAAAATATTTAATGCACACATGCACATATCCAAAGGGCACATTTTGCAAGCCAGCCTCCTGTCCATAGGCACATAGCCTTACTCAATCATTGGGTCTAGAGTCCATAGCTGCTGTATCTTTCCATGCCACTGCCTCTACCATCGTCTCTGCTGTCATCACTTTTCCAGGTGGGGATCCCAACCTCCACTCATGCTCTTCCTCAATGATGGTCCTGAGATTGTTTGTTCCTGAAATACAAGATAACTACTCCCTTCTTTTTAGTTGCACATCTTCTACAATTACAGTTTTGACAATTACAATTAATCCTACTAACATTTACTCACAAATGAAATTATAAAATCCTATCAGCATCATTCTTCACCCCCTTTCACCAGACCCATCTGGAAAATGGAGAACTAGTCAGTGGAGATGCTTCCTTGACCCCTTATTCTAAAGCTAAGCACACCCATGAAAGCTTGTAAGTCAACAACTTCATGCCTTTATAGCCCCTCCCCTATTTTTAATAGCTAATGTCTAAATAGCCCATCCTTACCAACCCAGTACATTGAAGAGAAAAACATGTTCCTTGATGTAAAGGACCTTTCATTCCAACTGGAATTTTGAGCAACTATATTCATAAGCAAAAGTCCAATCAACAAATTGTAGCAACTGATACTTGCTCAGAGTACCAAACATCTTTATCTTCATTTGGTCAGGTTCTGGGAACCTCAACCCTAGCAGGTCAATGGGTACCAGCTGCAAGTCTGGGAGTTCACACATACCTCCCTGGACTTCAAGATCAGCTACCTCTTTACTCTCAGTCCTACATCCCATGGGCTAAGTCAGGGCTCTTATTTCTTGGTATATATCTAGTAGAGGGATTGTTGGGTCATATGGTATTGCTATTTTCAACTTTTTGAGAAAGCACAATACTATTTTCTTTGGTGATTGCACCATTTTAAAGTCCCACTAGCAAGTCTGGAACTGAACTTTATAATGTCTTTTCTTGCTCATGCTTTTAGTGTCATATCTAAGAATCCATTGTTGGAAAGCAAAATTCTAAAACATTACCTCTATTTTTCCCCCTTAGAGTTTTATGGATTTAATTATTACATTTGAGTAGTCCCGATGGCACAATGAGTTAAGCACTGCACTACTAACTGAAACATTAGTGATTCAAAACCCACCATCTATTCCACTAGATGCGGCTGTCTGCTCCTGTTGTTGTCATTGTTGTTAGGTACCATCAAGTTGGTACTGACTCAAAGCAACCCTATACACAACAGATCAAAACACTGCCCAGTCCTGGGCCAACCTCACAATTGTTGCCACACTTGAGCCCATTGATGCTGCCACTTTGCCAATCTTGCTGGGGGGATCTTCCTCTTTTTCTATGACCCTCCACCTTACCAAACATGGACTGTTCCCTCCTGACAATGCATCTGAAGTATGAGGGACTAAGTCTGGCTGTCCTGGCCTCTGGCTGGAGCACTCTGGCTGCACTTCTTCCAACACAGAGCTGTTGGTTCTTTTGGCAGTGCATGGCACTTTCAATATTCTCCTTCAACACCATAACTCAAAAGCATCATTTCTTCTACAGTCTTCCTTATTCACTGTCCAGCTTTCGCATGCATATGAGGTTATTGAAAATACCATGGCTTGGGTCAGGCACACCTTAGTCCTCAAGCTGACATCTTTGCTCTTCAACACTTTAAAAAAGGTCTTGTGCAGCAGATTTGCCTAATGCAACACTCCACTTGGTTTCTTGACTGCTTCTTCCATGAGTGGTGATGGTTGATCCAAGAAGAATGAAGTCTTTGACAACTCCAATCTTTGACAACTTGACAACTTCAATCTGTTCCTGTAAAGATTTACAATCTCAGAAACCCTATGGAACAGTTTTACTCTGCCCCATGGATTCACTAAAAGTAAGAATTGGCCCAATGTCAGTTGGTTGGTCTGAGCTAAATCTTACATTTAGGACTTTGATCCATGGTGAATTAGTTTTTGTATATAGTAAGAGGTATGGGCCCAGCTTTGTTTTTTGCATGTGGACACCCAGTTGCTCAGATCTAAAGAGACTGTTTTTTCCCTATTGAACTTAACATCAAAATCAAAATCAATTGACCATAGATGTGCTAGTTTATTTCAGGGTTCTCACTTTTTTTTCTGTTGGAAATATGAATTAATGGTTTTTACTTTCATATTTTATTTTTAATTTTCATTAGATTTCTTTTCTTTTTTTTTTCCTTTTTGTAAAGATATCACAGGACCGGGTAGTGTTTTGCTTTGTTGTACAAAGGATCACTAGAAAGAAATTCAAAAACAGTGAAAGAATGATCAGTATTTTCTTGTGTTAAGGTTATCAAGAAGACAAAAATCAGCCCTTCCAGGAATCAGATTGTGATGTTTCTAATAGAATGTCCATGGTCACAGAAAAGCTAATCAGAAACAAGTTTCTAACGAGATTATGAAAAACCACAAGGTAGGTGTAAAAAGGCCTGTGAATGAATACTGATTACTTGACTACATATTTTCTGGAATCATGAGTTTATCCTATTGTGTAGGAAAACACTTGATTTCTAGCTACAAAGTTGGTGGTTCAAACCCACACAGGGTTGCTATGAGTCAAAACCATTGAGATGGCACTTAATAGCAGCAACATGTTTATCCTTTGCTATAGTCAGCAAAATAAGCCTACATTTTCAACTCTGGCTATGTTTGATTGGAGGACTTTAACAATATAGAATTCTTATTTATGAATTTGATCAATATTTTAAAATTATTTCAAATAGATTTTGTTTAATGTTAAACTATTTGATTTGCTATGGACTGAAAGAGGTGAATAAATATTTCATCTTTCTATTGTGTTCTTTTCTTTTTTTGAATATGAATGCTAAAACCACATATTTGGTACACAGCTTCTTCATGAATATGTCACACCTCTGTACAGTGTACTTTGTCTGAGAAAAGGTAATTAAAACCAATGTAAGATTGTTAACATAAAGAGAAATACAGGATAGTAACACTCAGGGATATCTCCATTCCCATCCCGAGCTCACAATAGACTTCCCCAAGAGTCAAAAGCAACAATAGCATTTATTTTCCTTTCTATATTAGGTTGTGATACAAGATCTTTGTTGTATCATGATACTTTACACAATACATATTATTTTACTTTGTGTTTATCTAAATTTAAAACTTTGATAAAACTATTAAATTTAGATAGGGTAGTTAAAAAGAGATGGTCTAGGGTAATAAATATAAAGACTTCTCTTTCTTCTTTCTGGAGAAAAGTAGCTATATCCCAACAAGAAGTTAGAACTTTTATTTCCAGAGATAAGGTGGAAAAGTCACAAGGAACCCTAAACATTTCCTGTTTTAGAGATTCCTCTCCTATAGTGTACCTTACTGCATGAGAAAGTACAATGTAGTTTCCCTTGGTGTTGTTTGTGTTATGATTGGCTTACTGTTCTAGTGGTCTTGCTAAAGCTTATAGGTTTTGAACCGGTTCATAAAAGTAGTTTCCTATGGCACCAATTCTGAATTGGACTCTCTCTTCCTATAGTGTTCACTTGTGAGGAGGTATAGCTTATTATTTAAGTTACATTTACCAGTGCAATTTACTAATTGGGTGAGGACCATAGAGGAAAAGTGGTGCTATAGGATAAAACACTGGATTGCCACACAATGTCAGTGGTTCAAACCCACCAATTGCTCTTCAGAAACTCTATATTGTGTTGCTATGAGTTGGAACTGACTTGACAGCACATAATAACAACAACAAAATACCCCAATATCTATGAGATTTATCATAATTGTTATTTCCCCCCTCTTTTTTCCTGCAAATTTTCTCCAAAGAAATGGATCATTCATTTTTTTCCTTACAATAATCAAAGAATTTAGCTACAGAAAAATTGCAGGAGTAAATGTACCTATAAAGATGAGACTAGAAAATATTTTTGTTTTGGTGAGCCTTTATGTTCTAGGTTGTAGGGGTACTTGTAAAAGATTAATTATACCTTTACCTTTTCATTTCTCTGTAGATGGCAGGCATTTCAGAAAAGGGATCATGACAAATATGCAAAAGCAATATTGAAGATTTAAAAAAAAAAAAGATATTTTGTCTTCAACAAATACATGAATTTTGGACTTATTCAGTCATTTGTTATGTTTTCCAAAATATTTAAAAAGTATTGGTATAATTAAGAAACACTTCTGTATCTCACAAACATTTGTCACATCTTCTGTGGTTGGGAAACAAGAGTACTGTTGGTCTGGCTACTTAATTGTGTTGAGAGTTTGAGTCAAAGGTTTAACTAGAAGCACTTCTTTCTGACCCCTTTTAAAGCTTCTCTCACGTCTTGATTTCTTAGGCTGTAGATCAGAGGGTTTATCATGGGGATCATAATGCCATAAAATACAGAAGCTGCTTTTTCCTGCTCTTGAGTCTCACTGGTACTGTGGTGCAAATACATATAAGAAAGAGTCCCATAGAATATGGTGACTGCTGTCAGGTGGGAGACACACGTGGAGAAGGCCTTTTTCCTCCCAGCTGCAGAAGATATCTTCAGGATGGCGGCTAAAATATATATGTAGGAAAAGGTGACAACCAACACAGTGAACATCAAATTAAACCCCACAAAGACTGCCAGTAGCATGATGTTGAAATCAATCTTAGAGCATGCAAGGGCAAGAATTGGGGGTTCATCACAGAAGAAGTGGTTAATTGCATTGGATTTGCAAAAGTTCAATGAGAATGTGAAACCTGTGTTTACAGAGCCATTTAGAAAACCCATGAAGTATGAACCAGCTAACAGTTGAATGCAGACTCTCTGGGACATGACTAGTGGATAGCGGAGTGGGTTACAGATGGCCACATAGCGGTCCACTGCCATAGCAGCCAGGAGGTAGCAGTCACTGGTTGCAAAGGCACCATAGACCAGTAATTGTACCAAACATCCTATGAATGAGATAGATTTTTCTGTCCGTATGAAGTTCTGCAACATCTTGGGAGTGATAGCAGAGGTATAACAGAGATCAATGAAGGCCAAGTGCTGAAGGAAGAAGTACATCGGTGTATGAAGGCCAGAATCAATCTTGATGAGTACAATCATCCCAACATTACCCAGTATGGTAGTCACATAGATCACTAGAAATACTGCAAAGAGGACATGCCAAAATTTGTGTTGACCAAAAAATCCCAGGAGAATGAATCCAGTGACTTCGGTTCCATTTTCTAGTTCCATGGTTAGAAAAGTTTAAATATCAGCTGAAAAGTTGCAAAGGAAAACGTGTAGAGAAAGCTAAGATCAGTGTGAACATTTACCTGATTCCAGAATTGGAAGTGATACGATATTTGGTTTCATAGAGGTGAAAGGATAATTTCATGTCATATTGACTTGGATTATATGCAAGATGAAAGTGGCTTAAATTTGCCTCTGTTGTTTAAAAATGCTTTTGAGTCAGTTTTGACTCATCGTGACACTGTATAGGGTTTCCAAGGAGCAGCTGGTGGTTTGAACCACTGACTTTGCAACTTAAACTGACCTGGCGGTCCATCTCCTTATCCTGCAGTGCCACACCAGGACTCTATACTTAAATAGTTTCATCTACAGTTTTGGGTATTGTCATGGAGTAGTAGCTGTCCTCAGGCACAATTGAGTAGGTATCTCATGAACATATCAACTAAGAAACATATACAACACACACTTTAAATTTGCTTTCTTTTATGTAGTGTGTGCTTTAATTATGGCATTGTGATTTAATACGCTGGACAGCATAGTCAGTTTGAACCCAAGGGCAATGGTTCAAGCTCGCCAGCTGCTCCTCAGAAACCTATACAGGGTCCCTATGGATCAGACCTGACTCAGTGGCACTCAGCAACAAATGCAAATCATTATATCTGAAAATATCGACTCTTAATCTTACAACAGCTTATATCTTTATCTCTATTTTATACCTTTCCTTTCATTGCTATCTCTGCTCCAGCCATCATGGACTCGTGGTCATGAACAGTTCTCTATGGAAATGTTCCTCAAACTATCTATGGTGATAGTCTAGATTCTTTAAAAAATTTATAATTTCTTCTGTACAATATGAAAAGCAACAAAAGACCAGAGCTAGCATTGTAAAAATTGTATAAAAAATTAAAATGCTCAAGCTCACTTTCTATCCTTATCTCACCCTAGACCAGTAACAGTACATCCATGGTGTTGGTTCATGCATGCCTGTTAATAGCACTGTTTAATATTGGCTATCCACCATAATTTACTTATCTGTTCTCCATATTGACTGGAAACCAAATAACTTAAAATTTGCGTCAACTACAAATAACTCCATGTGGAACTTTCTCTAATTTATAATTCCTAGAAACAAAATTACTGAGTCTATGAGTATGTATTCATTTAGCTTGATCACTATTACTGGATTGTTTTCTACAATGAATGTGCATTGTAATTGCATTGTTGTTGTTAAGTGCTGTTGAGTTGATTCTGATCCATAATGACCTTGCACAGGGTTTCCGAGGAGCAACTGGTGAGTTTGAACCACCCACCTTGTGGTTCATACCAATTTTTCAGTCCAGTGCATTAACCCACAACACCACAGCAGAATTCTATTGTAATTGCATTGAGAATCCCCATATCCTTACCTCTTTGTGGACATCAGCAACACCTTAAGTTTTGGTCAGGATAATAGGTGTACTGTGATGTGCCATTTTCATTTGTTTTCTCTAGTTACTAATAAATTTAATCACTGCCTGATAATTGTGAGACTGCACTTTTCTGTAATTGACTGTTCATATATTTTGCCAATGTTGCTACTGAGTTGATTTACAGCTGCTCTTTGTTTATGCTATATTTTAATTCTTTGTCAGTTATTAACATTACAAAGATTTTCTCACATTCTGTCCTTGATTAACATTGTCTATAATCTTTATTGAGCACAATTCATTAAATTTGAAATAATAATCAATGATGTTGCATTATGAATTATTATTTAAAGAAAATGTCTAAATGAAATCCATTCCTATCCCTAACTCATAAACATATTTTCCCAGGAGAGTTAAAAGCAACATTAAAATTTATTTTACTTTTTATACATGGTTGTAATGTTGCTGTTATTGTTAAGTGCCATTGAGTCAGTTCTGACTCATAGAGACCCTGTATAGGGTTTTTGAGAAGCAACTGGTGCGTTTGAACCACTGACCTTGTAGTTTAAAACAACTTTGAGGTTGAGTGCTTATTCTATGGCATCACATCAGGTCTTTATTGTATGATGATACTTTATACCATACATATGATTTTATAAATGTTATTTTGTGTTTATATAAATTTAGTACTTTTTAATAGAAGAAAGAAGACTAAGGGAATAGAGAGTGATAGTAGATGGTGTGTTTGTGTATGTGTACATGTGACGATATGAACTAATTTGGAACTTGTGTTGATGAAAGATTATTATGGACAAGAAGGAAATGATGAGTCAAATATCTATAGCAATAGTTGTTGGAAGATACTCTGAAAGAGGGGAAAATAACCAATTAAAGAAAAAAAATCTCAGTGATCCAGATGTTAAATAAAATTTCAAGGTGAAAATGAAGCTGAAACCCAGACAGATATTGAACATCAGGTAGGAAATCCAGCTTTGGGCACTTGGGTTCAGTTATGTATGATAAAATTGAATGTCAGCATCAAAAATAAACAAAGTCAAACACATATATAGTATATAGCTTCTAAATAAGTGACAAGTGGGGGATATAGAAAATTTTACTAATGCAACAAAATGCAGGAAAATGGTAACCAGAGCAAAAAGAAAGGATGGTAAGCAGAAACACAAAATAATATGGTAAAAATATTTAGAAATAAATCTGTGCTCAAAAGAATATAATAAAGGCACACAAACATGAAAGTGCAAGCTGATGAAAAAATAAGCATTAAGAGATAATGGTAAAGTAAAAAACTGTCTTATTGAAAACAAAACTGTTATTGACAAACCTCCTGCAAGACTGAACAAGAAAAAAGAAAAAAAAAAAAAAAAACCACAAAAATATTTTTAAAGAAATAGAGGTAACCTGACAGAACAGTTATTAAAAAAGTATAACATGATTACTATGGACTACTTTGGCAAAATAGGATAAAGCATTGAACTGCAAGGTAAGTTTGAACCACAAGGTTGGTGGTTCAAACTCAGCAGCCACTCCTTGGAAACCCTATACAGAGTTGTTATGAGTCAGAACTGACTCGACAGCACTTAACAACAATGGATAACTTTATGTCCATAAATACAAAAACTTTGATTAATTGGACAATTTATAGAAAAATATGTTTCCAAAAAAAAGTACAAAAACTGTGAAATACATACATTAAAAAAATTTAAGTAATTAAAATTGCTATTTAAAATCTACTCCTTAAGAGGTGGGGTTTGATGATGGACCAAGCAGAAAGGCTGTACAGACCTTTGTCAGTGAAAAATGGAGAACTAGATGAATCAAATTCAGAAGATAGTCCTAGAACTCTGAGCTTCAGATAAAGTGATAAATAAGTGAATTGAGTGCTTACCAGTAGAAAGAATTGGAACAGAAACAAGAAAGGGATGATTTTTGATTTGAAGTGACAAACAATACCCACCACAACCATTCTGAACAGCAGTGATCAGATTGAGAGACAAGAGAGCATTCCTATTGCAGAAACTTGCCTGTGACTTACAAAGACAAAGGTGTGAATATTATTATTATCATTACTTTTTCTTTTTCACTTTCTGTTCATTTCCTCACCAGTGATGAGAAGTGAGACCTATATGAGTAGACACCCCCAAGGAAGGTTCCGTGCCATGTGGACCCCACAGCTGGGTGCAGAATCAAATGGGGAGGAGACAACAAAAAGAACCTGTGCTCTTCCAAACATCAGTTTATTTCAAATCAAGTCTGGGCTAGTTTTCACTAGGGGAAAGAGCAAAAAAAAAAAGGGTAAAAAAAAAAAAAAAATGTTGGTGATAGATCAGAAAGGAACAGAATGAACATCATGAAATTTCTTAGGTGACTTTGAAGGCAAGAGTCCATTGTTGTTGTTATTGTTGTTGTTATGTGCCATGGAGTCAGTTCTGACTCATAGAAACCCTGTACAGGGTTTCCGAGGCTGTAAATCTTTATGGGAGCAGAAAGTCTCATCTTTCTCCTGTGGAACAGCTGGTAGTTTTGAACTGCTGACCCTGAGGTTCGCAGCCTGATTCCTAACCACTATGCTCCTTAAGAGTCCATTAGGTTATGCTTAATAATTACTATTATTTTCCCATTGTTGCTTTGTGGCTGTTTAAAATTATTTCATTCTATTATTATTATTATTTTTTCCAGCTTTATTATCTTTATATTGTTTTCTGGGCTTTTATGACTTTTGTTTTTAGTCTTTTTTTTTTTTTTTTAAGTCCTCCTTTTATCTTTTTGGAGTGCTTTCTTTTCTTGCCTCATCTGACAGGAGACAGAAGCTAGGGCCATCATATAGCTAAGCTACAGCTGCATCCTGTAAAGCCTCACCAATTGGGCAAGATCCAATACCAGCTGCTATACACCAAAGTAGCATCTATAATCAACACCTGCTAAAAACTCTGAATTGAGCTGTATGGACAGTGAACAGAGATGCCTATCTCCTGACCACAACTTCCAGAAGGCAATTGGAGAGTGCTTAAGAATACACTAGCATATCTTCATCAAATTAATACAAATACAAAAACACCATAATGCATAAAAAGCAGCAGAAAATTTCTGCACATGTGCTGAAACAATACTGAGTATCTCAAAGGACCAAGAGGAAGAACTAGAATTGTTTTTCAGGGAGAAGAGGCTATGGAACTACCTGAAAAAGAATTCAGGAGAATGATATTGAGATGCATCCAAATGTTCCACAGAAATTTCAAGGAAAATAAGGAAGAAGTCAGAAAAGTGTGACAGGAACAATCAAACAAAATTGGAGACAATACAAAACCTACAAACAGAGGTCCAGATGATCAGTGCTAAAATATCAAAAATGGAAAATATACTGAAATGGCAGAGGAGTAGAATTGAAGTGATGGAATCCAGAATTAGTGAGCTTGGCTATTAATCTCCCAATACTGCTAAGATATAAGAAGAAGAAGAAAAAACACAAAAAAATCTGAAGAAAGCCTAAAATTCATGTGGGGCAACATGAAGAGACATAACCTATGGCTAATTGGAATTCCAAAGCAGGAAGAGATGAAATCACAGAAAAGATCATCA